ATCCACCCATACAGTGACGCAATAAATTTAATTATACTTGTACCTATTTCAAATTAGCTAGTACAAATTTAGCTACACATTTTACTACAGTTAGCAGACTTGGGATTAACTGACTGACACTTAAAAGACTGAGTTAATTTCGTACAATTTCACAGACACAACGCAAACATTCAATGCACATCAACCCTTATTTACACATATTAAAGCTCAGGGCAGAAACTTTTGTACTGTTAAATGTTGACTGTTTGAACATGWAAAAATTAATTCACAGTCTCCCAGTACAACTATTTCCCAGATCATCTCTTAAACCTGCCAAAAAACTCTTGTGTGGCAGTCCCTCATGTCAGGTAGGACCCAATTCTGACCACAGTGACGTTAAAAYAATTAAAGTTACCATTTTTGCCACACATTATAATATTGTACAATTTAATTCACAATAATATTGAAAACAAAAAATAATGAAACTTCCAAATAAGTTATATTCGACTTAGAATTTTTAGATAAAATATTGTTAAGTTGTATGAGATATCGATAGTTTGATGATGTTGTTTTAAAATTATCAAATATGTACAAACTTAGTTAATATATTATACAACTTTGAGATGTAAATTAATCCTCCTAAATTGTTATGTTGATAACAAGTGAATGAAAAGCAAATAATTTGTACTGAATACCGTATTCTATCACAATGAAGATGAATTCTCATCATAAGGTTTCTTATACTTCTTACTTCTCTTGACTAATAACTTAGTGAGTACCTTTGTCTGTAAGCTTGTCTCCCTTTTCAGTGCACTTATCTGTTGTTGAAGGAGTAAATTATGTTTAATAAGTTCATCAGTTTTTTGTAAGAAACCCTCCATTGTTTGTACGTTGACATTAGTCTTAGGTGCCGTCTTGGWCACTACAGCTTGGTCTCCTTTGTTTCTTCTGGTTGATTCTTTCTTTCTTGCTAAATGCATTCTAATGAAATTTTCAACATCGCTATCATCATCACCATCATCGCTGCTGTCATTATCATCATCTGCGGCACTGTCATCATCATCGTCGTCGTCATCATCATCATCAAGTTTACAGCCATTTTCTTGTGCAGTTCCATTGATATCACYATTTGTTTGTGAGGTRAAGGTGCATGTTGAATGGATCTTGGCAGTAGACTTTGACAATGCTTCTGTTAGATAGCTTCCCTCCTTGCTGAACGGCATTTTATGGTTGATCATGCCATCTTTACCCCACAGCATTGTATTGTCTTCTGGTAAACTATCAATGACCCTACTTCCTGCACTTGGACTGCCACCAACCAATCCAGAACACTGGTGCAGTGACATTGCTTTACTAATGGAGACTTGATGTGGTGAAAGGAGTGTGTGGTTGTAGACGCTATGCTGCATTGGGTCAGAGGATGTTAAGCTTTGCATAAGGATCTTGGTGTCTTCTACAAAATCCATGGTGCAGCTGTAAAAATAGTGATATGGTTAACCCATGGTTAAATTGTATGGTTGGTGCATACATACAGGAAATAAAAAAAATAATAACACAGCGCACATATTTAATTATTAACTACAATTTTACTAGATATCACATATAACCCTGCAGGTAGCAGTCACTGTTCATCTTCCACACAAGAAAAGATAAAGGAGACTTCCGGTAGGGTATTCAGCCATGAAAATCATATGAAGAAAATTAATGAAGGCTTATAATTATGCAATTGTTTTTTTGAAGTGTTCCACTCCCACACTATACACTGTGTATACAAAAAAAAGACAATTTATTGACAAGTGTAGTAATGCACTCCACCTTAATATTGTAAAAGACTTAATGTATATATCTATATAATACATTTGGTATGTAGGGTGGTTATAATATTCAGACTATTCATTTATTTATAATAATTTATATTGAATAACAAAACATATGAACAGTTCTTTCTCAATGTCCATTCATTTCAGCTTGTTCATAAGAATATTTGCATACAGCTGTAATTTGTAACAATTCGCCTGCATTAAAATGTTTTTTCTTAGTTCCTTAAACGTAGGAAAATATTGTGTGACAGGATATAAATTTTTTTAGATAGATTTACGAGATAAAATTTCAATTCATCCACACGAGGTGAACAGTAAGACCGCGAAACATGAATAAATCGAGATGGATGTTTATAAGGACTTAATGTACAATGAATTCGAAATGTTTTTAAAACATGCTACAAAGGAGTATTGAATGTTGAATGTRTAGGAGAAAAATGGAGACTTACTCAAATATCCTGACTSCATTAAAGCATAGAGAATGTCAAGGTGAAAGTAGAAAGTATTTAGGGAATAAATATTATTTCTACGTTCTCCTTCTACTMCAAAGAATAATCAGTCATGAACTAAGAGATCATATTCGCAAAATAATAAAGTATTACCTGATATAAGTTCACCTAAAGAGATGCTACAACCTTTCAGACTAACGGTATATTGTACTYCTGACAGCAGCTCAGTTCGTCTTCGTTATAAACAACACCTTCGATGACAGCCAATATACACGTGTAACATGTGAATGACTATTGTCGATTCACGTGCTCATGTGAACGATCAACTGTTCTGGARCAAGGAACCTTCATTTTCAGATAAATAGACARTRGATCCTTGTAAATAGCATTTTTAGAACYAAAGATATCCAGTGTATAAAAAAAATATAATTTTTAACCAGAAATATGCAAATTTRATGTACTATACCRATAGCCTATCTATAGCTTCGGGCTACCTGTGGCGCGTGAGTTGGATATTTTTTCCGCGTGAGAAACAGGAAGCCCGAAAAAGGATTGACCTTGAAAAGATTTTTCCATCTGAGTGACGAAGCAAAGTTTGTCAAAAAACTCAATTTGATCTGATAACAAGAATTCAGTTTTCAAAGGTCATCTTTTTCKCATAGAACAGAAAATTAAGGATCTTTAAACTGTAAAAGTTAGTTTGTCATGGCAACGTGTAAAAGTGTAACACTATGCTAGCAATACCAAAATCGCGATCGATCAGAACGCTCCAAACAATGTCCAAATTCATTTAAACCTTTTATGAGGAACAAATAAAGCATGGATCAGCATCAATCAACACAGAATTAGCAAAATATCAATACATTTTTCTCCGGTAAAATCTCGGTGGAGTGGGTGTGTCCAGACTTGGCTTTTTTGGCGGAGAAACATCTAAAATTCGATTATCGTACGTTATCGTACTTTTTTCTGTTAGGTTGTTCTCTGTACTGCTATGGTCAATGAAATCAATRATATCAAACCCTGATGTACAGTTAGAAATGCTGTTTTCGTGATGGATTGTTCCTCGTCGTGATCGAAGTTGCTCCATATGAGTGAATGAGTAGTTCCTGTTATCAAAGCTTTCCTTTTCATCAAATRATTTATTCAGCGTCAAGTCTGATTTCTGAAAAGAATAAACAAAATTTGAASTTTTTATAAAAAGTTAGCCTTATATGGACGGATATTAAACTCTATGGGAAAACTGACGGTTTGACGCTGCATGACGCTCCATTTAACGCCRTCAAACCAATATAATAATCGCACGGTACCTTGTTATTGATGGGATTGGTCGGCTCGATATTGTCACGATCATGAATTCTAGAATTTCTTGGATTTTGCATTGTTTCTGGTTCACATGGTTGCATGACGTCTGGTTCACATGGTTGCATGACGTCAAAGGTACAGGTTGAAGCGTTATCTGCGCTAAAATAGTTTTGATTACCATCATGACGTTGAGCAAATACTTCAGACGTCTGTCCTTGACTTGCTTGAGGAATATTTTCTGTCAAATTAAGTGCGGAAATTCGCATCATTTATTATAAAGTTTCTATATAACGCGCACTCTGATTGGCTGACAAGTGTGCCATATGCCTTTTTTAGTTGTGAAGGTCAACGAAGTACATACCAGCTGCCTTTCTTTTTAGACATCTCTTATGTACCTCAGAAGAAACCTGCCCTTGCTTTATTTCTGCATTCACTCTAGCACAACTAAAGAATAAAATGCGAGTATAGCATAACAGGATTTTATCTTGGAGTGTTGAAAAATCAACAGTTTGGAAAGTGATTCCAGTATAGGTATTTTCTTGAAAGTTTTAAAAATGCCTTCGACATAATTTAAACGGACGTYACTTCAAACTATTTTTTTTTTATTTACTAAGTCGAGCTTGATGAAAAACTGATGAAAAACGTCACAATTTACAAAACAATATAAAAAGGTCTAAAAACAATGAGCGCGCGCTCCGAGATCTTACGTAATGATATTATGTAAGAAACAGTTATGTAAAAAGATAAATTTAACACCGTAAAAAAGTAGGTGAAATAAATTACGTAAGAAAGATGATGAATAAACCAACCTACAACCAACTATTTGATCTGCCTTCAAAATAGATTTTATCATATAATTATCTATAAAATACCTATATTTCTCTATTACGTTAAGTTGTTATTTTCTTAATAGGCTTAATATTAACTATGTTTTCACTAGTGAAAATAACACATTCGAGGTTTCTCTATAGTGTAAGTAAGAAAAAAGGATATTTTACGACATAATTTGATTTCATTGATAATTATTATATGATAAACAGAATATTACATGGTCGCTTGGATATATGAATTTTATCTTCTCGTATAATTAGAAATCTTTCACATGTTCACTCTCACTCTTTTCAACACTCAAAGATAAAATTCGTATTTACATGCAGACCCATGTAATACCCTCTATTTATTTTATGTATCATATGGTACTCTCATGGTACTCTATCAATCCATCCAGCCATCTAACCTTTGCTTGAAAACTTTCAAAATTTGTTCCCTGACTTCCATGAAGTAATCTGCAAAAAGTTAATGACATGAAATGTAAGTGTAACTTGGACTAAAGTAGTTATAATATAGTGTATAGTCATGCATAGAACTTACTTCGTCCATGGAATGTTTCAGCAGGATGCAGACTTGCAATTAAACTCTCTGAGATTTCATGTAGAGGTGTCTGTAAGAGATCACTAACATTTTTAGAAAAGAAAATCTCATGACAAATGATTCATGATCATAATGATGATTGCACTCACTGCTATCAGTATCATTACAAAAATAACATTATAACATAATCTAATTGTAATCATGACAACTATCTACCTTAAATGGCAGCCTTCCTTGAGATGATTGACTACAGTTACTAACTGCTGATCCACAGGCACTGCAAATTAAATCCAAAGAGATGTAATTTCCACCCACCCCAACTTGGGTGGGGTGACCTCAAAACCCTGACCCTGTTCCAGAGTGAAATCGCTGAAAACGATACCCTGGTTGGCTGCACGTGCCCGTATAGTGATGATGTAGTTGTAAGCTTTATGAATGAATAAAAGGACTAGACGACTGAACTACATGTGCTACTTTAATCCAACATGGCGGGCCCTAACATGACACAGGAACCCCAACCGATTATGGGGAATACCACTGACCAACAATGTCACATCAACTTTTGCAAATGCATTTTACTATGAAAAAAATGAATTATTGAATGGTTTTCGAGCCGTTATGTTGGGGGGCCTGGCCTCCCAAAAATATTTTGTGAGGGGRCCCGTGCTYCCMGGCGCCCCTGATGTTCATCAGTTTACCTTGATCGCACTGTTGCAATTGATCTTGGAGATGAGTTTAGTGAGCCCCTAAAGAGAGAAAATGCATGATAGTCGTATTTGTCATCATAATTGATTGGTGGGGTCAGTGATGCAAGGAGTAAAGGTATTCTAGTGCTTTGTATTTACCTTCCACTGAATTGTCTTGGAACAGATATGGGAATATCTACACAATACAAAATAAGTGAACATTTAACTTGTATTACTGAGTGAAAAGTCAGTATATTCATTGAATGAAAAGTGAGGCCTTTGCTAGAGATTAATTACCTTGTTGGTTACACAAACAATGATACAGATGTATTAAACATCAGTACTTTCTAATACACATACCAGAGGATGCAGTCATTTCTGTGCTAATGTATCCAGAACTAGCAATCAGAGGCTTAATTCTGAATGAGGAACAATCTAAAACTCTTGAAAGGTCTTTTTTCAGTTCTTCCTCATGATCTGGGACACACTTCTTCATGTTGTCTTCTACTTTTTGATCTAAACAAAATTTATACAAGCTCGAATGTAACGAAAAGAAAAATACAAAATATGAACTATTGCATAAACTTACCCCTTAATACAGTTTTAGAGCTTTTTGCTTTGTTATAGAGACCTACTTTGCTCTGAAAAAATGCAGTGACAAGTTTAAGAAAACAAAAATGAAAAATGAAAAATGAATTTTGGTGCAAGATCTTACGGTTATTCGATGTTTAGTGATGATCGAGCCCTGCTCTGTTGGCTTCTTTTTGGGTGTGTTTTGATTCGTTTTCTGTATAATCAAAAATACATTTCATATAGCTTTTTTGGTAACATTTGTTAGTTTCAATATATTTCTTAAACAATCGTGTCCTTTTCTGGTGAGAAAATATTTGAAAAATTCCATAATAAACTTACTCTTGAATTTTCTTTGTGATGGCTTTTCTTTTGTCGTTTTTTTCTCCTTTCACTTTGTTCCTTTTCTTTCTCTGTATTGCTTTTTCCCAAGTTTTTCCGAAATATTTCTCCAACTTTACATTTCCCAAGCACGCCAAGAAAACCATTGCAAAGTCAAGTTAATTTTCATGTCAAAATCGTCTATCATTCAGAGAAAAAAACGGTGATTTATAATTAAGTTGAATTCATACCTTTTTCAGGATTGTTCCGTGTCCTCATGACCAGTTATGAAAGCCACTTTTATCCAAACTCGGAAACTTTCAGCATCTTGCATTTCAAGTCTATCACGATGTGTTGAATTTCCTTGGGGCACAATTCCCAATGGTTTTTTAGACCTACCCCGCTTCGTATTCCCTAATTAAGATTTCTATTACGATTTTTCCTTTTCATTATTTGCAATCCAGTGTAGCAATGAAAGACAAAAGAAGCAACTAAGAACAAAAAAAATCTCTCGCAAAATCACGATAAATCATCGGCCTCAAGCTTGCGGTCTATTTTCCCGCCACATGTTGAACGCGCGTGATGCACCAAGTTCGTTTTTGGCGCGCTTCAATGGTAGTCACGCAAACATGGTAACGCAACGCCGAAAATGTAGACAAAATTTTGATCAATGTTTAATTTTTTTTTATTCATTGCAAAAACGAAGTTGTGTATAAGATATATACAATAAGGAAAATGTCATATTTCAGTTAAATTACTAATTGAAGGAAAACATCCAAGAAAATATTATAGTTTAGCCCACATTACCCATTTAAGTATACATAATTTTTAAATACACTATTGAAAATATTTTGTTTTGTAGCATACAATGATAATTATTCGCATAAGAAGGCTGCCAGAATGTACCTATAATTGTGTTGCTAATGTTATAATTTTATTTACAATAATATTATAATTTGTTTTTAGAAATACAATGTTAGAAGGTATTTTAGATCATTTAAAACAGATTTCATGTACTGCATTCAGATGAAAATTACAGAAGACAATTTAAATGAAATGACATTCTCTTAAGTGAATCAAATCAAAGAGGTTTATGAACATCTTTTTCAATGTTTTTTTTTTCTTTTTATCTTGTAATCTTATATTACATAGGATGCAAATACCTTGTTGCAATGTATTTAAAAACATCTATTGATATTCATATGTGTATGTTATTATCTCCGTCTTACAATAAACCAAGCAACAAAGAAAACAAATAAACAGAAAAGCATTAAATAGCACATTATTTTATGGTGTCCTTTCTTTGTTAATGCAGTAAGTCTTCCCATTGTTGCTGAGAGGAGTCCTCCACTTGTGTCAAAATCATCATCCTGAATAGATAGAAATTGTAAGGATTAGTCTGTAGACCTGTTTGCCACCCTCCACCTCCCTGATAGAAAATATTGGGAAAATCCTAGGATGAAGGAGGGGTTGGAACAGCTAAGGATTGACTTTWGAGCTTTTTTGTGTTTAGCCTTTTTTATCTTAACTASAATCTTGACGAAATAACTGTGGACARTTTGTTCATTCATACTGACACTCTCAAACTCCCGCTGACATGTTTGATGYTCCWTCCAGCAACATCCATTGACATCAAATAAGGTGGCCAAACTGCAATGTTATCCTTACAGGGGAAGATAAAGACTTTTCAAGAAAGGTGTTTGTTCTGTGGTCCATCTAATCTCATTTAACAGGGATCAGTGTCATCATAATCAACTACATCATTTGGAATCATATTAGATATGGTCGATAAATAACTTACCATGTCATTTAATAATTGATTTTGAGATCTAACTTCATGGCCTATATCGATTGAAAGCTGAAAAAAAATAAAAATAAATGAAAATAAGCTTAAATGAAGCAAATGAAAGATCAAAAGGATCATATAGTGGAATAGTACTATGAACAGAAAACTTACCGATTTTAATGTTTGTACTTTATTTGAGAGATCATTTTCTAGTCTTTCATTTTCATCCTCCAGCATTTGATCACTTCTATGCAGAGAGTTCATTCCGTTGCCAATGTCTAAGCAACAAAAATGTCAAAATGTACAAATAATTTACCGAAGTTACGGCTCAAATTCATTCTCTAGGAATAAGAATTCGTAAAAAATACATATTAAAATATTCGTACTTACTATGTGCTCGTCGCATTCTTTACAATACCCAGGGATAGTWACGATAAGGAAGCGTTTTCTGGTAAACTTTCTTTTGTAAACGTGTAATTTTTGTTTTGGTACTTCTAATGGGAGAAACCGCTGAATTTTCCGAGAGTTGTTCGTTAAGCTTTCGGAGTCTTTCGGAAGTCATAGTTCTGTCTCATGGTAGTCTCGTACAAGTAAGAAATTTGAGCCTTTGATCGAATGACAACGTGTTTGTTGTGAAAATTTAGATACAAAGGATTATGTCAATGCTTACACAAAGACTCTGTCGATTTCTGTGTAGATCAAAAGGTAGGTTAATTCATCGTATTTTTCTCACAGCTGATGACAAATACAATCACTGAGATTTTCAAGAGGTGTTTAAAACTGTGATTGAATTTGTTGTAAATTTGTAGTAAATTTGAGTGTACATTCCATGATATTGTCTTCTCTGTTAATAAATCCCTGATAAAGGGTCAATTTATTAACAAGCGTCCACCCATCTAACAATTTTAATATCCTAGTTTTTTATTAATTCATCCATCCACTCATATAATCCCTCCATCTCTTCATGCTGTTAATCCATGCTCCTTTCCTTCATTTATGTCAATTATTACGTTTATCAACCTGTCTGGAAAAGCTGAAAACCATCTGAAAAGCTTCTGCTTATGTGACAAACATATTTTTCCAGACTTCACATAGAATACAAGACTATCTTGAATTCCAGAACATCTAAATATGTCCTGGTTCTTTTAGCAGTTAACATACAGTACCCATTAAGATATGCAAGTAATAGCTCTGTAGCATTTAAGAAGTTACTGGATGATCAACTGGATGGTATCAAAGAAGCAGGAACATGGAAGACAGAGAGAATCATCACCACAAAACAGGCACCTGMAGTTGGTATAGAAGGCACACATGATGAAATTTTAAATTTCTGTGCAAACAATTACTTGGGCTTATCAGTAAGTTGATCTTGTAGTGTTTTTATCCAATTATATCACTGAATGTTGACTTTGTTTKTAGTCTCATCCAGATGTCATTCAGGCAGGAAAAGATGCTTTAGACACACACGGTAATGGTCTTAGCTCTGTTAGGTTTATTTGTGGAACACAGGTGAGGTTTTTAAAGATCATTCTTCCTTCCATCCWTTCATATATTCTCCCATCCCTCCATTCATTTCTTCATCCATCCTTTCATTTGTCTATCAATTCATTCATCAATCCATCTAGATTCACTTTAAATCAATTTGCATGTTCTTACATAAATTTATCATGTTCTTATAACTCTTTGATAATCTCTGATTTATTTACTAGGATATTCACAAGCAGCTAGAGAGTAAGATTGCCCAATTTCATGGAATGGAGGATGCCATTCTTTACGCATGCTGTTTTGATGCYAATACTGGTTTGTTTGAAACCATATTGACACCTGAAGATGCCGTTTTCAGTGACGCAACCAATCATGCATCTATTATTGATGGCATCAGACTCTGCAAAGCAAAAAARTTTMGATACGAACATGTCGACATGAAGGGCAAGTATTGATTATTATTTTTTTTTATAGTAAAAGGAATAGAAAGAATATTGCAAAAAGGAAAGTAATGTCGAGATGATAAAGTTTACCTTCTTGCAGCTTGAAAATTACCATGTTATTAGGTTGTAACATGAACATGATAGATGATATTTTACTTATCTAAATTATCCTTGATTTAGATCTAGAAGCAAAGCTGCAAGAGGCAGAGGGATCAAGACTAAAGCTGATTGTGACTGATGGAGTATTTAGTATGGATGGCACAGTTGCACCACTAGAGTAAGAATGACCAGAACGTTTTTTGCTCTTTTCCATTATAATCCAATCATTAGATTTCTTTTTCAGTGAGATTTGTGACTTGGCTGATAAATATGGTGCTTTGACATTTATTGATGAATGCCATGCAACTGGATTTTTTGGAAAAACTGGCAGGTTAGAATCATGAYGATATAATGTTCTGCTCCTATTATTTTAATTTATAAAGTGCAAGCAATATGCCTGAGAAATAGTTAACGTTAATTTCTAATACCGGTAAATAGGGAAACAAAAGAATTAGAAGTGTTTTGATTAGAGATAATAGTCATATATTTTTTCATAATATCACAGAGGATCTGATGAATACATGGGTGTGAAAGGTCGTATTGACATCATCAACTCTACTCTTGGAAAAGCCCTTGGGGGTGCTGCAGGTACTCYRTTTACATTTGTAATTTCTTGCCTCATTCTCGCTTCACTGCAGAATCCACTTGTAAATGGTACTATCTATAACAAGCACAAATAATAATTTTTTCCTGTGGTATTTCAAACAATATTTATGATGCTTGTTGCTTTGGTGATTTTTAGGGGGATATACAACAGGGCCAAAGGAGTTGATTCAGCTTCTTCGGCAAAAGTCTCGCCCCTACTTATACTCGAATACACTCCCTCCCTCTGTYGTCGGAAGTGCAAGCAAGGTAACCAACTTCGACATGTCATTCAATTGTTATCACCGCCAGTGTTCATGATAATGTTAAAATTATGACGAACAAYGACACAACTTCATTCACACGTTCACAAYGCTTTTAATCAAACACAAGATAACCGAAGGACCACAGGAAGCCCACATGAAGTACRATGCCCAAATATGGCAACTAATGAATACAGCATAAAATATCATAAATATTTCTAACAGATAATGC